TCCCCCCCCACTCCCTGCCGGCTCGGCCCCCGGCGGAGGCGCTCCCACCTACTGCATTACCGGGTGGTGCTGAACTGGACAGCTCCCTGCGCCGCCCGCTTCGCGCGCTCCCCGGCTCCCGGGGCGGCCCGCCAGGAGGGGGGCGCGGGCCAGAGTCCTCCCTCCCTTCGGGGGCAGCAAGGCCAGGGCGGAGCACGGGCTGCCTTTCCTCTTTTTACCCCTCTCCCAAATCCTAAAATGAGCGCTCTTCTGGGCTCCCGGAGCTTAGAGGAAGGCGTAGCTAGAGATAGCTCCGCTCCCTCTCCCTCTCTCACACTCGCTCCCCATCCCTCCCCCCTCGGTGTTTCTTCCAGCTCAGCCTCCTTCTCATTCCATCTCTACGTGCCCAGAGCTTCAAATACAACCCTCCCATCACAATCAGACGGGCACAAAACTTCAACCAGCCGTTTCCTTGCCTGGAAGCCGTGAAAATATAACCTGGATGGGTAATTACAGATACGGTCTCTATGTGTCTTTTAAATCATTTTCACTTTGCTGTTTGGAGGATTTGTTTTATTCTGTTAGCTCTGTCTCCTTTTGGTCGTTCCTCTCTCATCTCTTTGTCTCTTTCTGGCTAACAAGGGGTGTGTAGTGCACTGTGTGTGTTTCTCTGTAGTTTTCCGTGAAATTCTGAATCTTCCTCCTACAAGCAGACATTTTGGAAAGATTATTCATGGAAAAGGGTGCAAAAGGGTGACTGGCTGGCAGTTGGAGCTCGGGCAATGATTTCATCTCAACGATAAACATGTTTGCCGGGGAAGTGGGTGAAACGTGAGTCCTTTTAAGTTTCCCATATCATTCGTAAACTGGATTGGATGAGATAAGAATCTCCCTGCTGTGAATACTGAGACACATCGCAACCTTCCCCTCTTCAGCAGAATCGTTATCCTGGGCTAATTAAAGCGTCATCTCTTGTTTCTATTCATGCAAATTTTTGATAATGTGACCCCTGGAAAAAGAAGTCCATTAGTCTGATTCCTTCTGCTACTGATTATATTTCTCTCTGATCAGTTCCATAGTTAGGTGGGGAGAGCACATAAGGCATGATGTAGGTGCACTGTTTTTAATTTTGGTGGGGAGGAGCCTAGAGAGAGGTGTGAGTCTGATGGGTCAATTGGGGGTTAGAGATGTTTCAGTTTCATAGCTCAAATATTCTATAATTTCTTCTCTCTTCCATTTTTGTCTGGAGATCATTTGCTTGACAATTTCTCAGTGATTTGGTGATTATCAAAGAGCATATGAAAGATGACTGAATTCAAAACAAACTTTCTTTGGTGTTGCTAACTTCTTTCCCTTAGCCCAGAGTTGGTCTGCAGATACAGCCAGTGCATTTTTCCTTTTTGATGTAGAAAAACTACCTATTTCTCCACTCTGTATAAAACTTCCTTCTCTTACTCTGTATTCACTTCTCAGAATGGAAGGACTCCTATGAGGGGTAAATGCTGTGCTCCTGGCACCTGGGAGAGGGTCCTGGTGTCTGGAGAACAGGACTAACGCTTCAGCAAACTCAGCTAAAGTACCTTCAGGGTATAGCAAGAGCTACATTTGCAGATTGAGGATTGCTCTGGTTTGGTTTCATGTCCTTTGAGGATACAGGTGGGAATTGGGATGGAAGAGGTACTAATCTGCTGATCTCATTCACCAAGGAAAATAGCAAGTTCAGCGAGTGGTTCAGGTGAGTGATTTTCTTGGCTTCCATCTTTGAGGAAAAAGTGAGGGGCCAGCAAGAAGGCCTCTTAGATGGGCTGGACCTTTTGCGGGCAGTGAAGAGAGGTTTGGGTGCAGCCACATGAGCCTGAGAAGCTTGCTCTCACTTCCTCCTGTCACCTTGGTTGCCTTTGACTTGTCCAAGAAGTCCCTTCAGACTAGAGATAGAGCCCTCCCTCTTATTCCTTTCCCCCATCCCTTTCTGACCAACCTCTGAATCTTTTGCTCAGTAACAGAGGCTCAGAAGCCTCTGTTTGTCCACAGAACCTGCTAACATCTTAGCCACGGACAGTGGCTGCAGCTTTAGCAGCATTTGATTAATCTTCTGGCCAGATAATCATTGAGAAAAGGAAAGGGGCTGATGGAGGGGATGTAACAGATTTAGGCAGATGGTGTGGAGAGAACAGACACTTCTGGAGACACAGCAGGCCTGGGGGCACAGCCTGCCTCTGTGCGATTTAAACAAGCCAGCTTCCCAGAGCCTCAGTTTCACCGTATGTAAAATGAGCACATTAGTTTTGCCTCTTCCTTTCTGAAGTTGTTCCCTGGTACTCCCTGCTTTTCAGCAGGACTGCCCCCTGCTCCAACTCTACCACCCCATCTGTAGCACTTTATTTCATGCATGTGTCGGCTTCACACTGACTTGTGAGCCCTTTGAGGTCAATAGCTGTGCCTTGTTCACCATTATGTCTTTGGGGCCTAGTGCAGGGCTTGATACATAATAGATGCTTGATAAATAAGGGCTGAGTGATTATAGTGAGATTTAAGTGGTGTATCTGGTACATAGGAGGCACTCAATTAATGTGGCTTGCCTTGCATTTCTCCTCCCCCCATTTAAATCCAGATTGGTCTCCAAATTCTTCTTCCATCTAACTTATGTACCACACTCCCCTTCCCTCATCTTAACCTAGCTCTCTCCTGAGGTCTCCTCTGCAGACCAGGCTGGTTTGGTGCAAACCGCATTAGACGGTTTGGATCCACCAGGCACACATACTTAGCAATTGCTGAATGGATGCTCTTAGGGGAGCAGCTTTGTGCGCCTGTGGTTGGTGACTTGGTAAGGGCTTAGAGGAAATTAGCTGAAATGCCACAGGCCTATTTTGAGCTCCCTTTTTGATGGAGTGGAAATAACATGGGATTTGGGTGCAGCAGACCCGGCCTTAAAGCACAAGGCTGCCTTTTCCTCATTGTATGACCTTGGGCAGTCACTTCACCTCTCTAGAAATCTCCCTTTATCTGTCAAGGAGGACCACTGGCAGGTGCCTTGTGGTGTGGTTGTCAGTGTTATGTGTTAAAAGTAATGACAACAGGCAACCTCCCGCAACAATCCTGTGGAGGAAAGAACCATTCTACAGATGAGGAAACTGAGTCACATAATGGTTTGAATAGCTGGTCTAAGATTGTGAATGATAGGGAGTGAGTGGAAGAGTTGAGTCTAGTCCAGCAGCTCATCAAAGAGACTATATCTTAACCACTGTGCCTTGACTCAAGATATGACCTTTCTGAATGAGAGTATCACACCAAAGCTGTTTGCTTCTCATCCACAGATTTGGCAAGCATTTAGGGAGTAACTTCTAGATGCAAGTTGTTTTCACACAGGTTTTCACACTTACCATTCTAACAATCCTGCATATTACTATCTTTTCCTAGAGGGGAACAGAGGTTTGGGGAGGCTATAAACCAAGTCCCAAGGTCATATATCAAGTTAAGTGAAACAGCAGAGATTTGAACATTTTGCTTCAAGTTTTATGAAATCCAAGTCTCACAGTTTAAATTCATTTGTTCATCCATTCTTTTAACAAATCAAGCACCTACTATGTGTCAGGTACATACAGTAGGTTTCCTGGGGATGTTGAGCAGGAGACATGTGGTCCCTTCTTCCAAGGACCTGAACACAAGCAGAAGGAGCAGACAGGTGAGGAATAACCATGCTGAGCTGAGGAGAATGTTAGGTGAGG